AATTGAGGAGCCGCCACACCAATGAGAATCCAGCTCAAACCGTCCCGCAGAGGCCAGCCGCCGATGCCTCACAGCCAGCCCCGGTTCCACAACAAAGCTCGCCAGTATACAACACCATCCGGCCTTTCCATATGCAGGCCAGCCTATCACAGCCTCCGTGTCTTCGCCACCATTCACTGGCAATTCCAAGACCCTTGTACCCCTAACCCTTTAGAAAAAACTCCCAGGGGTGTTCAAACTTGACAACTTTTAAGACGTGTGGACTTCAACTCCCAGAATTCCTCCTCTGGCTCTTCATCTTGATGATATGCGGACAGCGGGTGGGGGAGGGAGCTGGAACTGGTTCTAAACGGCACTGCAGATTTGTGGAACCTCTTCTATAGAAGAGGTTAGAACTGGCAGGAACCCACTCCTGCACCAGGTGCAAAAACTCTCCCATGCTTCACAAAAGTTGCTAATGTTTTGCCTCTCATTTGGTACATGCATCTGGTACATGCATTTCTCCCCTTTCCTATGTACTCCATGAAAAAAATCCCACAGACGATTTGAGAGGAAATTCTTCTAGGACTTAATATCTAATGAGCAATATTATGCATATAATACACGTGCCTAAAAAATCCTTAAAATATCCTGCATCCATGGTTACACATTTCTGTTATTTTCCAGTTCCCTGTGACCTATAAAACGCGTCATATTAGCAATTTTGCATTTGAGCATCTTTCTTAGAACCAAGCATCTGTTATGATGCTAGAACAGGAGCTAAGAGCAGGGGGCAGCATAAGGCAAGAATTCCCTTCAAGGAGGCCTGAACACTCCTCAAAGTACAAGCCTATGATATGTTGCTGTTTTAAAAGTGGCATTTGTTGTTTTAAAATGGCATTTCTTTTTTCTCCCCAAGGATAAAATAGCATGACACAAAGACCAGTACTGACGCCTGCAGACTCCCAGTATTATTGTCATGGGATTAGCTGAAGTGGTGTGAATCATATCACCTTGTTATATGGAAACTTCTTCAAAAGTTATCACTGCAATTTTTTGTTATCTAGTAGGGCTACAGTTTAACTCAGATCTCTGTCTCTGTAAATACAGAAAAAGCTGATATTAGACAGGGAGATTCTCCTTTCAATGCACCCCACTGCTCCTCTTGTTTAAGATGGATATGTTTATACATTAGATGTGGGAAGGGAGCAAGCCAATGATAGTGCTTGGAGATAGGATATTCACAGAACCCAATACTTTCCCTCCTCAGATATCCTTTCTTTCCCAAGTGGGCATCTATACTACTGAGAATCTCTCACCCTACCCTATAAGGAAGGAAGAAGTATTTAAACAAACAAAATAGGGAAGTTATTTTCCCTCTCATTTGGAAGTGGATTTTTTTGGCACTAACATATCCATAAAGCAAAATACATGTTGCCAAATAAAACCACATGAACCATGGCGCATGCAGGCACACACACACACACACACACACACACCTTCAAATCAGTGTTGACTCCTGGGAACTGCCTGAGCTAGTCCCTGCAGTTTTCGTGGCAAGATTTCAGCAGTGGTTTGCCATTGTCTCCTTCCTAAGGCTGAGAGAGACAGACAGACAGACAGACAGACTGGCCCAAGGTCAACCAGGTGGTTTTATGCCTAAGGCAGGACTAGAACTCACAGTTTCCCAGTTTCTAGCCTGGTGCCTTAACCGCTACACCAAACTGGTATTTATCAGACAATTATCAAGACATACTGATTCAGAACAGGCAACCTGCAGATCTGCCAAAGTCCACTTAGTCTATTTTTTAAAACACTTTATTCTCTGCAAAAAGAGGCATGTGTGAGACTTTGTGTTTGTGTGGGCAAATATGCACACATGTATGTATGCTTCTTTTGTGGGGATTGTAAGAATTTGTTTAAATTTTATAAACAGACTTCACCTTTTTAACTTCAGTATATGACATTAAAGATAGAAGTGGAAAATAATTAATTTCATTATCACTCAAGGAGCTCATAATTGGAAAGTGGTTGAATAGCTGGAAGCTCGCTTGTCTGCAAGCACACAGGGCATTTGAAATATACTTAAGAAAAGCAATGAGCCCAAGCTTTTCAATTGCAACTCTAAAATCCAGCAAATAAAAATTAAAAAAAAATAAAGACCAGTGAATTACTAGAACAATCAGAGCAGAAAACTCTGCCTTTTTGCCTTGTGATAAACGATTTCACCACATTTGACTGACCATGTTCTTTTAAACTTGATGAATTAATTTGTTCATTTGATTCTACAGTCTGAATAGAGTTCCTTTGTCTTTGCAGGACTCTGGGTTGTTTCTTCATTGGCTGGACAGGCTCAGAAGCCCCTCCTCCCACTGATGAGATGCTCAAGGGAGCTTCCTGTGTTTCAAGATTCAAGGGCAGATTCACCTAGTGACATCCTCTTGCAATGGAAGCTATCTGGTGGGAGACCCTTGGCTTGAAACTCTTGGCAGGTAAGAATGCCTCTCTTGGGATGGTTGGCTGCACTTCAGGATATCCACAGTTCTAAAAAGGATGAAAAGGCATTAGGAGCATACAACACTAATGCTATGACAGATTTTTTTTTTTAAAGTGAGAGATCAAAGAGAGGAATATCTCAAATAAGATACATCCAATAGAGTGAAAGAAAGATTCTGGAGTAAGCTTCCCCAGAATCTCCCTTTAAATTTGTAAGTCTTTCTTTGATGGTACATATATAAGTTAACGCTTAATATTAAAAAAATGTGAGAAAGAAGAGGCTGTTTCTCCTGAATAGGCAAAACATTTGAACTCTTATCAGCCCCTCTGGATTTGAGGGATGACCACGTGTGTTGAGCAAGCCTCCTAAGGTGGATCTTGTTTTCTCCTCCAGTCTATGCAGGTCTTTGCCATGCTATTATAGTGACTCAAAAGGAACGCTTCAAAATCATCCAAGAGGGGATCCAGACAAATATCACCTGCGATTATGATGACAGCAGCTACATCATGCTTTTTTGGTATCGGCAGGACAGCAATGCTGAAGAGAAGCAGTTCCAGCTTATTGGATACTCTGTAGCTGGAAGTGATACGAGGAAGGAAATCAAGACATACGAGATCACCAGAAGAGCAGTGACTCATTCTTCCCTTATCATCCCTCCGGAAGAGGCCGTAAAGCCCGCAGTATATTTCTGTGCAGTTGGTGGGACACAGTGAGAGCTCCAGGTCTCCCAGCTGTACACAAACTACCTCGCACTGTTTCATTACCGGTCCATGTCACATAGATTGCGGTCCTGTACACAGATCCGACCTCATCCATCCTCAAAGCACTGGTTGCTTCTGAATGATGGTTTTACTCATAAATTTCTCTGTTCATATTTTCAATTGATACATATTTCAGCTTTGGGAAGTTAGCCATTCATTTATTTTTTTAATTTGCAAAATGTCAGTGCCGCCCCAGTCACAGCACGTTAAGCAAAGAAGAAGGCAGAAGAATATATCTAATTCTATTTATGACTGAATTGGGGCCATTGGTAGTCTTCCACAATTCCAAGCTGGAATGAGAGTTTTCCAAGTCAGAGCCTTAGAAATGAGTTGTAGTTTTGCGAAAGATATAGCAATAGCATTTAGACAGCACTCTCTGGGTGGTTTATAATATAGAAACCTATTTATTTGCCTATTGTCTCCAACAATTTGGGTCCTTGTTTTACCAACCTTGGAAGGATGGAAGGCTGAATCAACCTTGAGCTATTCTGTGACTTGATGAGAAAAACAAACAAGCAAACAGATTTCTAATTGTTATGCTATGTCTACCCAAAGCAGGGACTTTGTATTACCTGTCATTCAAACATGTCTGTCTGTCTGTCTGTCTGTCTGTCTGTCTGTCTGTCTGTCTGTCTGTCTG